GTCCCCCGGTCATTGGCTTTCACCTTGCCCCATTAGCGATAGAGGATGTGTCCGTATGTCTTCTAAAAAGCAGAAGGGAGTTAGCACAAACACTTTCACATAGCGTTAACGCCCTTCTGGCTCTCTGCGGCAACACACCGGCGTCTGGACGGACCCTTCACCATGAGCAAATAATGAAGTTCGAATCAATTCAACCCCTGTTTGGAGGATGGAGGTTTAAATCAAGCATCTATTTCAAATGTCGCCAAAAGGAAATCCGTAACAACACAAACACTCTCCCTCTTTTCTCTTCATAAACAATTTGACGTGTGGATTGACGGCCTTTCAAAATGACTCGAGTCATAAGCGACGGCTGTCCAAGATGACTTTGTAATGTCAAGTACACTGTACTAACAAAATACTTCCTCATGTACATATTCGTGTCTTTATGTTTTCGAAACGAGTTAAAGACTTTCGGGCAATTTGCAATTGGTTATCATCTACAAGAGCTCACTCAAAATTTCCAAATACTGAAAACTAGAAGTGAAATAATATCAATATGACAATATCATAATATCGGTTGATTCTTGTCTTGTGCACTCATATGGGCATGGGCACGTCGGCTTTAGTCAGGTCTACTATTACATCAATTCGATCTAATTTGTGAAAAATATTATTTCTCAAAAGTTTTCTTGAAAAACTTACTTGCAGACTTGTAAAGTATCTTACAATTTTCTTTTTCAGCCTGATGGCCATTGGATAAAGTGATTTGGAACTATGTAAAAGGGATCTAACGTTTGCAACTGTAATTTACACGTCCCCTTCTTTATCTACATTTTTCAAGGCATGTCCCCCGAACCGAAGGCACGAGTTACGGCCTTCCGATTCTCAATCCTGTACCAACACTGCTCATCAACAACGTCACAATCATCACGACCACTACGTCACAATCGTCACGGCCACTACGTCACAATCATCACGACCACTACGTCACAATCATCACGACCACTACGTCACAATCATCACGACCATTACGTCACAATCATCACGACCACTACGTCACTATCATCACGACCACTACGTCACAATCGTCACGGCCACTATGTCACAATCATTACCACTACGTCACAATAATCACGACCACTACGTCACAATCATCACGACCACTACGTCACAATCATCACGACCACTACATCACAATCATCACGACCACTGCGTCACACTCGCCACGGCCACTACGTCACAATCATCCCGACCACTACGTCATAAATATCACGACCACTACGTCACAATCATCACGACCACTACGTCACAATCATCACGACCACTACGTCACAATCGCCACGACCACTACGTCACATTCATCACGACCACTATACGTCACCACTAGAATATGTTTACATCATCACCATAAGTAACACGAACATCTTCATTATCCAGACAAAAATCGACATCGAACGTGTCATATCTCTTCATATTATTTTTGGTTGGATCGCAGCTCTATACTATGGCTGTAATTAACTTGTTATTACAACAAACAATGGATTCAGGATCGCTAAAATAGACGTATATCAAACTTACACAAAAAAATACATTGAAAGAGAAAGGTATTATTTTCATACAAAAAGCACAAAGGTGCCTTTATTCAGATTTTGAAAACTCTTTTTTTCATCGGAATCAAATTAATATTGTATATGCAATGTAGTCATACTTTATTCTCAGTAGCTGATTAGAAATGGATGTATCGACAAACGATTTTCAAATCATAGTGCATACAAATTGACGGCATCTAAATTGAATATGAAGTAAACAATATAATATTTTGTTATCTAAAATCGAAATGAATGCCATTACCAACCAAACCTCATCACAAAGTAAACTTTGCATTATTAAAAGGCAGGGTATTCTACTGACATCGCTACCACTGCTGAAATGTGTTTTTCAATAGTCGCGCCATCTTCCGGTGAAGGCGTAGATAAAACGCTTTCCGGTTCCCGTACTCAAACATTTCATCGTGCGCGCATCATCCGTTTGTGGTGTATTGTGGGACATGGCTGTCGACACATCACGTTCAAAGTGAAGTAGTGTCAGTAGAATGTATTGCCTTGAAATTACAAATACGGCACTAACTGAATAAACATTTACTCGTTCTTATCAGAAAAGCTTAACAACATTAATTCAAAATAAGCAACTACTATCCTTCTGGAACCGTTTTATCATTGGGATTTTTTCCTTCAAATTCAAGGTTACTATGGTAACTCGGGGAGTTACATAAACGAGTTAAATATTCACAGATTTGAATCTATATAGCTTTATTACTTGTGAAGTGAACGTTTGAGGTTATACATAATGTCCAAATTGAGTTGTATGGAATGGGCATTCTATGACGATGTATCTCCGTAAATTACTTTGATCTATTTAACCTGTTTAAATGAACACTTTTTTAAACCATAAAACGATGATAAACAATACTAACATATATTTGTACAATCTAATACACAATGTCCAAAGTAAGAGTGACGACTTTGGCTTTTTTTCAAGCCCATAATTTGGTAATTTTTGTTAAATGTTTTAAATCCGCAAAAAAAAAGAGAGTTTCTGGGACAACCATATAGATTTTTATCGGTGGAACGGTTTATCTAGAGTGGCGGTTGAAAAGAAATATGAAAAGAAATATGAGCAAAATTCTTTTGCGAAAGTAAATCAAATTATAGTTCGGATAACTTTCTTTGTATAATGTTGTGCAAACAATTTACATTTTGAATACATGGGAATAACTAATCAGCACAAATTAATGACATACACACGACATTTCATCTTACACACTAAAATAATGAACGATAAAATTTCCCACGATAATAAAAACAGAATTTACACCTTACCAAAATATGAACCAATGTTTCATCTATTTATACGTGTACATGTATTTACAGTTAACTACAGTCTTAAGAATAAGTTTGAAAACATAGCGAAATTGCAATAAATAACAAGAGTATTTTACATATAATATTACAAGAAGAATGACGTGCTATATTTGTCATGATTAAGTACAATAAAAGTCACACTAATAATGTTAAGTTCTAAAAAATGCCAAAGTCGATACGAATGCATATTCTCAGTGTATTACTGCTTCGAATATTGACATAATGTTATCAATTTTAATTTAAATTTTCTCAAGGTAAGGAAATTGCATTTAGATTATGCAGCGCCTGGCTTACATAATACAATTTAAAAGCAATACCAAAAACACATGCGATAAGGAGTTTGCGATTTATCCCATTTTAGCGACCAAACCATTTCAAATTCAACGTATAAATAATTCATACAAGTTCATATTGTATCCATTCTGATAAACCGTAACTCTTTATATTTTTTATTTATATTACGAAGCCCTTTCTCACCCAAGCAAATAAAAACAGAGAACGACCAACAATACTGGTGGAAAGATTACATGGCGCATAATGGTGAACGAATATAAACATGATAACTGCGTCAACTTTCAATAGAATGCTACATAGGCTTTCAGGAATATGGAAACTAGCAAATAGGCCTAAAAGAGCAAGAACATAACACACTGCCTTGAACAATGTCGACAAACTAAAACTTACAACAAGCTACTACAAGGTAACGCATTTCATTTCTAAGAGCAGGAGAAACAAAAACTTCATTCGTGCTTGCATAAATGATACATCGTTTTCTAGCTATACGTGCGCACATTTTACAAATACTTTTTAATCTTCAAATAAAACGCACCGTTAAAAGGGAAAACATATTAAAGAAAGAAAGAAAATGGAATACAAAGCTAAAAGTACTAATTAGTTTTTGGTCTAAGCAAATTATTGGTCTAATAACATCAAGCAAAATTTTGGTCTACGCTAGAAGCAAAACGAATAATTTTGCGCTCAAATTAATTCCAGAGGAATTGCATGACAAAGGTACAAATTGGAATGCAACGGACAATCACGAACACACTTTTAACAAATATCATATTTTTTGTTTGTTTCAAGCAACATCTTACAAAGAATATTTTACAGACTATCATTGACCAAACACACACAATATTGAATCAAAGCTTGCATGTTTTCATTGGGTTTCAAACCCATTTGGAGGTAGATCTCCCAACCCAAAGTAATTTTATAATGACGTGTTCATGTCTATCATCTAATATTTGTGTTTGTTCATTATCAATTTAAACAGTTCATATAATGCGCATAGGCCTGGATTTAAAAAAAAAACTTGAATGCATAATACTGAATATTATTTGTTTTTCATTTTCAAGTAGAATCTGCACGTTTTCCTGTTTGTTTTAAAACAACTTAGCCTTATAGTAGAGTTACATAGCCAGATATAAGTAATCGATTTTTAGCAATTTCTTACAATGATTTGCATTTGTGCTTCGTCTAAATGAAGTACGAGTCCCCTTGCGCCATACCAGTAAGACAATCCTCCAAGAGGCATCACACATACTTATCTCAAGTTATCTGACTGATTAAAAGTTATAAATATAAGGAAGAAGTCCTAAATATATTTTCGAGCTTAATTTATCGACTTCGCCTGCAGCTACGCATTGCACATTAACCAGCTAGACATTAGCTAAAATCATTTTCAACTCATGCAATATTGCTGTAAGAATCCCTAAAACTTTTTTGTAATCATCATCACAATTAACACTCGACACGTAAAGCTAATTATGGATCCAAAAATATCTCCTCTGCTCGATTGCAAAATCTGTGTACATGCATAAACAATCAACCTATCATGTCATTCAAACATCATTTCGTTTTTCTACTTTTAGTTTTGTTATTTTTTTAATCGCAATTTTTATTTCCAGGCTGTCAATTAACAGAGTAACAAAAGATTGCCAGCAAGAATTCCATTAACCTTTTCGTAGAAACTATTCCATTTCTGTGGTATAGAAATTATACGACTTTTTTGGTAGATGATTGTAATTTCATGTCTCTTGTTATCACAGGCAGGGAAGTCAATGTTATTACTGCTTCTCGTCCCTTAATTATTATTAATCATTGACCTTAATGGCTGTACATCTCTGTAAATAGCATCAAGGCTTCAACACACTGAATCTTTTGACAGTTTACTTGAATACTGAGACTGTTATTATTTCTTTGAAGACTTTGACGAGAATTTGCCCTTTTTGACTTTGGTTGCCGGTTGAGCACCCATTCTTTGCTGTTGGGGTATGCTGACTGCAGGACTAGCGCTCCACGGTGAAGCCTTGCTAGGTGGTTGGTGGGATGACTTAGTACTCGTTCCAAAGTCCGATTTGCTAGTACCAGATGCTCCTTTAACAGTGCCACCTGATGCACCCTTTGCGCCTCCGCTACTGGTTCCCTTCGAGCTGCTACCTGTCGCCTTCGACTTGGTAGAGGACGCAGTTGCTGTGGAAGCAACGGAAGATGTTGGAGAAGGTTGTTGAACGGCAGCAGCGTTGTTGTTATTGTTCGACGTCTTCCGCTCTTGAGCGGCCACCTGAGATTTCAAGGACTTGCTGGAGGTTGGTGAGGGCACCTCAGAGAAGAACTGCGCACGTGCTGAGCGCGGAGACACTCTTTTTCCTCTTTCGCTTCCATGTTTTGGCGATTCTGGAGGAGTCTTATCGGAGAGGGGAGGAGGTGCAGTCGGTTTAGACTGCGCCTGTATCTGACTCTTTGTCCTTTCTAGATGTCCAGGTATATGAGTCAGAGGTCCCTCACCGAAAGACCCTAGCTCACTCGGTGGTATAGGTACATTGTACGCCTTGCCTCGCGGTGGTTCGACACCCCTAGCCGCAGCAACGGTCGGACTAGTCGCAACGGACGGTTTGCTTGTTGTTCCATTGATATGCTTTGGTAAAAGGAAACCAGGAGGAGGGGTCGGGTAGGGGGAAGATCGCCCCATACTCTCTACATCACTTGAAGGTTTTGATCGTCGATCTATATTAGCACACATAGACTTGGGGCGTTCAGATGCTCTACTGACATGAGACCTACCTATTTGCGGGGACACTCCACCGGCCGCCCTGCTATCACCCGGTAATCGACTGTCCGACATCGAGGGGGATAGCTGGCGACTAGTTGGACTTCGTGCTACAATTTCACTATCCGTGTGTCTTTCGCTATCAGTGTCCGATACACAAGGAGAGTCTGTACTGGCCGAACGCCTCTGCAACGCTGGTGCAGAACCACTTGTTGAGGGTTGGCTACCTTCAAACATCATTTTAGTGGACAGTACGCGATTTCTATCAAGCTCTGCCAAGCGAATTTGAAGGTCAACGCGAGAGGGACTTTCGCTTCGAGGTCGAGCCGTTTTCCGATCAGTCTCTCGCAGAAGACCCATGACGTCGAACCGACCTTGCTTCACCACTATTGTCGGTTTATCGGCATCATGCCGTCGATCGCTTACAGACCTCGTGATGCTTACTTGTGGCTTCCTCGCGGTGCTATTCCCTATCTGAGACACATCGGGAGTGGAAGACGCAACGGGCACATTAGATTCCTGAACTGTCGTTTTAGATTCCTGGACAATCTCTGTTACTGTCGTTTTCTTTCCCGCTTGCGCAGTGTCTCTGTCAATAATAGTTACGTGCGGAACCCTACCGAAATGAGTTTCCTGAAACTGGGCATGCTCTGTTTCATCGATCTTAGTCTTGGGAGGTGCCTGAGTTCTTCTTTCTTTGGTTTCGGTGACAACCGTCTTCACCGTTGTCGAGGCTTTGGCGGGTTTCGTGGAGGCTATCTCTAGCCCGCCCCCTACGTGGGCCGATGAGATGACTCTGACCGGACTTCGCGGGCTTTTAGTCGGTGAAGACGTCAAGACCTCAGCACTCCGTGATTGTGATCGCCTGCTCTGTAGGTACTCTCCTTGCGTCTGCTGTCTCGGTGTGGTAGTTGGCTGTGAGGTTGCCCTGGGTGAAGTACTGTTTGAGGACTCCTCTTTTTGGCTAAACTGTCGAGGTGGTTTGGCGGGTGGCTTGGGTGGGGGACCACTGTCCCGTCGGGTCACGTCCGACTGGGACTTGGATCTGAGTAATAAATATAAAAGGACAATGAGTTGACAATTCAAGTGTTTAAACAACTGAGATTGAGTTAATGTTCAATCAATATTATCATAAATCGGAATATAACACAATTCAATTTCAGCTGACATCAAAACAATTGTTTAGCTTTTTGGTATCTCATATAATAGCATTGAAATGACGTTTTACAAAAAAAATATTTAATACAATTCTGGTACAGATACCGCCTTTGCTTCAGATCTATTAACAGACCGACAATTCCATTACTTTAGTCAAAGGAAGTTGTTTTTAATATCCAAATGCAAATGTACATCATAGGAATAACACACAAACCTAACAGTGTGACGAAATTTAAAGCGATTGTGTCAATAATGTTTCATCATCTTTCATTTTGTAAGGCACTCACTAAATATGTAACAATAAACACAGTGTTGGCATCGCCAATCAATCCAATTTAACTCTTGGGTTGGTTGTTTTCATTAAAGTATTGAAAAAAAAAAAAAAAGTTTGAAATATATATGACAAATTTCACGAACTCAATACTACCGATTTCACAAGTCTGTATCTAAATTTCTCTTTCTATTAATCCTAATAATCATTGCAAGGTTGATAACCATAAAAAACATTGGCTTCTTGAGTCTTGATAGTAAGTATTTATATACAGTTGACAAATCATGATAATAAATTTATGGACATTACCAGGGGCGTCACCAAATATATATTTAATGTTTCAGTATTCCACCACCACCATAAGTTACATTACAACTACTACTACTACTACTACTACTACTACTACTACTACTACTTCTTATACTACTACTACCACCGCTACTACTACTATTACCACCACCACTATTACTACTACTTTTACGTCTACTACTAATTCTACTACTAACACTACTACTTTTACCACTACCACTAATTCTACTACTACTACTACTACTACTACTACTACTACTTATACCCCTTCGTCGTCCTCCTCCTACTACTACTACTACTACTACTAGGCCCTACTGCTTTTTTCGTTGAAAAAAAGTTTTTAAAACGTAATTCCTATAAAAAGTGATGACACAAGTAGACCCTGTAGATATCCCTATTCCTAAAAAATAACGGTTTTGCTGGATTTTACTAAACATATATTTTTTCGTTTATCATAGCATTACTAAAGTTTTTATACTCGTGTTTTCCTTAATGAAATCAAACCAGTACTGGACTGTAAAACTCTTCCATTAATTTCCAGTACATGCTGATTCTTGTGATTCAGAGATTTATGTTAATAGTAATTCCTTTGTTCTTTCTATCAATTGCTAATCGAACTCTATTTCATGGGGAAAGTGAAATGAGTGCAATATAAAATCGATGACATTGGTCCGAGTAACAACATTGAGAGAAGTATTGATTACTACGGTATAATACCTAGGGAAACTCTATGTTATTCTATGTCTTGTAATTCTTTGTCTTGATTAGTTCATCGGGTGCCTACTCTGCATCGCATCATGCCTGGAGATGGTGCACACATTTACCTCTTGAGTTTTAGGGCGTATTGGGTTTGAATTCTCTCCTGATAATTGGTCAAATCGTCTTTGACCATAGCTAGTTGCCTGAGCGCCTAGATAATCAAACAAAATTATCGAACGAGGAAAAAAATAAAATAAAAGACATGTATACGACATAGACAAGAACGGTCAGAGACGACACAACGAGATGAAACATGTACGAACACACACAAATCCGTTAAGATGGGACTACACTAGATACAATTCCTACCTTTCTTCAATTCCAGTACGTGCAGATGGACTGGCATTCTGATCACGTGATAACCATGGGACGATGCAGTGAAAGGGGGAAGGAGAAGAAGGGTGAACGAAATAATGCAATGTTAGTAATTGACCGGGCATGCGGTATATCATTGTGACCACTACAACTCTAACAACACATCTAAAAAAACAATCTCTAAGGTTATGGTTGTAAATTATCTATCACTATCGAGCTAAAAGTTTTTGTTTTCACTATAAAAGTCAAACAGTTTTAGAATCCCAAGTGTGGTTCCATAAAATCCTTAGTCTTTCTGTCCACAAACTTTCAGACAACCAAGAGAGAGGATGAGATAGAAAGCGATAGTCACGGAGCTAAGCAATAATGTGTGGAAGAAAATGAAATAAAAAGGTGTAAATGTGAACACGAGAACACATCAATAGATAATGATACAGTCGGACGTGAATCCCGAAAAGGACGAGGTGAGGTGAGGTGCAAGGGGAAGGAATAGAAGGTGTGAGGAAAGAGAGAAAAATGGAACGAAAATATGATGAACAGCTAGGACAAAACATACAAATCGTCCCTATTTTCACGAAGTGACGGTAGTGAGGAAAATCGTCACGCAAAGTGAATGCAATTTTTTTTTTACTACCGTCACTTCGTGAAAACAGCGACGAAATGGTGACGGAGTAGAGAATGCAGCCGAACGTGGAATAACAAAAAGGTTCACAATGTCAACATACTGAATCAATAGAAAATAATGAAGCAGAAGGAGAAGAAACGGATGGTAAGAATGAGGTTTGAAATGATGAGAAAAAGAAAGTGATGTGAATGAAATGGATATGATGTATAAAGGAGGAAAAGAAGTGGCGTATCCATAATATGATAATGGGGGGGGGGGGGGGAGTGATCCCCTCCGCCGTTTATCGTAGACCAATTGAAAGTCTATCTTTCACTTTTCTGGGCTTTCAACCGACAGAGGTGGGCTACCCCATCTCCGTTATCTGTTGGATACGCCAGTAATGAGAAGGGCAAGGACGTTTTGACAGAAATGAAAATGGTGAATAAGAAAGTGAAAGAGGATGAGAAATTGCTTGGCAACCATAAACTTTATCTCTCTGCTCTAAATCGATTAAGTTTCTTTAGAAGTAGAATAGGCGTGTATATTTGAAGGTGCAAATATCCAACCATGAAGAACTCATATAGATTAACACTAGGGCAGGCAGGATAATAATTATGACCCTAATGACAACACCAAACTACAGTCAATCAGTTATTATCTGACATCACATAGGAATATAAGGGTGACCACTACTAGCACATCAAAAAGAAATGTTTAACATACAAACAATCGAAACAAATGATATAATAACATTAAAACATGAATATATTATGAGATAACTGTATAAATCAGTTCCATATAACCATGCATGACCCACATTTATAGAGAAGTAATTTATGGAATGGATGCCCATGCCGCAAATATTTATATTTGAAGATAATTTACGTGTAACCAATGCGTAAAGAATGAAAATATGAAATTATAGCTGGTGCGAATACGACAATATATATTTTGGGTGAAATGTGTCATTACAAAATTAAGGCAAAAATACAACATTGGCAACTTTCAAGAGAGGGTAAATAATAATTTAGTATTGCCCTTTGTAAGTATATGATTGAACTACTTACAGGAAAGCTACTCTCGATTTTGATTTGAAGGATTATAAAAAGAGGTAATTTCCATATGAATCCACATCAACCATTAATGAACATAAAATGTTACTTTTATTTTTCGTTTGCGACTTAATTTTTCAAAAGTAAATAGAGTAAGGTCTGTCTGCATTCGTATTATTTCTTTGGGCTAGGAGTATTAGCATTTTTTCTCCGAGATGTATATATATATATATATATATATATATATATATATATATATATATATATATAAAGCATAATTCATAATTTAACGAACTGTGGAGCAATTATTTCCATTCTATAACAATTTCCAAATGTTTAAGTCAGCCATTATATTAGTAAATATATATATAAGAAGTAAGGTCAGAAATGGAGAAAATAAGCTAGAAATTAGCATTTTCCGCAAGATAAATACCTTCACAATTGATTAATCACAGAAATGAATAGTTAAGATAATATGGGACGAAAGGGTTTCAATATACACTATTAATGGGAAGAACAGACAGAGCAAAAAACAACCATGAATCTGGGACAACACAAGAAAGGTTTTTATGTAAGCTGCGCTTTTTCTAAGGAGATCATTTTTGAGTAAAGAAAGGATAAGGCTTGGATGAAAGACTGCATGTCTAATGAACGATACTCCACTGAAGGAGAGATATTTCTTTTAAATATCCTTCTCTCTATCTCTTTCTCTTTCTCTTAATATTTGCCGGTACTTTTCTCAGGTAATCTAGATTTGTGAGAGAAACCGACATCATTCGACATCTGAGTTTCCTTTGATTGTTACTAAAACAATTGCTGGAAAAAATGTGACAAACTATTTGCTTTTTCTTTGTATGATACATTTTAGCTTGAGGCTTTCTTATTTCTTTGTACTGAGAAGGTAATTATATCCCTACAGTGCGTAACATTTTATGTTTTATGCTAGAGGATGTTCAAAAGCTAAATGATTTTCACTTTTAATTACTTGTCATGATCTGGGCACGAATGTGCAATATCATAAATATCTATAGCACCTTCTTTGTAGAAATATTGAACATTATCGAAGAAATAATTCTGGACAATATTTGAAAATTTCCCTATTTTCATATTGCCAATTAGTTCGATGTTTCAAACCGGCAGATACATTCTGAACACACGAGAGAGATCGAGAGAGCGTAGAGGGCACATTATGACCTCCCCCCTTCAATTTGACTCAGTGGTGTAAGGGAGTGACAGGGAGAGGAAAGACAGGGGGGGGGGGGGTAATGAAAAATATAAGAGAGTTATGTGAACCTCATCCAGTGTGAAGTTAGCCGGCCTTTCGGATGCTGAATGTCTATGGGTAATTAGTGGAGTCGAACCCAAGTTAACAGGATCACCGGACTTCTCTGCCGCTGCAGTAGCACAAACATTGGCAGGTTCGGAAACCTGCTTACGAAGCTGCCGGTAGATGGCGTTATTCTCCTCACTGGTAGGCGGCGGCGGCGCCTTTTGAAGGGGTTTGGTTTCTGTTGTCTTGACAACCGTTTTTTGCTGTGTGGAGGATAGTAATTATAATAGTGTGGATATATATATAGCATGGATGAAATGGAATGGAGCTATGAGATATTCAGAAGCAGCAAATTCAGGAGTGATACCCTTTTGAGAACATGTGCAATGCAAACATCATCATTACAAACATCACACAAATCACGATAAGTTACTGTTGGCCTATTTGATTTTTATAGATAGCCTAAGATTGTCATCCTTTGCAATCGAAGGAGAGTATATAAAATCCAAAGTTATTGATTCTGCTGACTCTCCTTTTAGCGTAAAGTATTTTCAAAACCATTTCAATAGGCCATAATTAATAGCGTGAGTATTTCATATTGTATATTTTTCTTGGATGTTTGGCGAGAGGGTGAGTTCGCCTCAAAACTTTTTTTCGGTTTACACAAAGAAAATCAATGACGCAAATGCTGCACATAATCTTAAAAGAATACTTGTACATGACTTATATGAGGCATTAATGATGCTGTTTTGCAGTTTTGTTTCTAGTGTGTTTCCTTGAAAGCCAGCGTGTATTTTGATTCATAGCAGAAATCAGATAATTGATATAAACAGTACTTCAAAATTTTAAATATTTTACCACACATTGATTAATGTTTTGCAGCTATCAATAAAATATTGATTACCATGAAAAGCAAAATTATAAAAACTCAGTAAAACAAGATTATAAACAATGTAAATACAGCACATATATAGTATAATATTGAAATTAGCAACTAAACTACATGGATATATATAAATAATGAAATTAGTAGAACAACAATTTAATATTCATCAGGCTATGATAGTTTGCAGATGCTGGCTTATTTCAACTTTTTAAGGATATAAATGACGCAAAGTTGGACTGGTATTTATGACTAAAAAAAGAATTGGTGACGAGAATGTTGTCTCTATAACACGACAGTTAGAGCAAAATCCATGTTAAGTGAATTATGATATTTTTTCTCCAAAAAGTGCGCATAAAATGAACATCTGCAATGCGATATCTTGAGTAGGGATTGGCAAACCACAAACAATTATCATGAGTAGAACATTTTGAGAAGTGAAAACAGAACAAATGATCATAGATGGAGAGTTTGTTTATGCGTGAGCAGGACAAATTGTGATGTTACAAAGAAACATGAAAAGATTATTGATAAAGCATTTAAACACAGGACACGTTATGGGGACGTTTGAAGCGCCAGGGCTCAAATTAATTCGATATTTAAGGGCGAATAATTATGTAGTGGATTTTTTTTTATTGAAAAAAGGGAACTGATTTGCAGATTTTTTTCTTCTCATATCCAAAGCTTATTTGTTTTAAACTAAAAAATATATTTCAGAAATGACTACCCAATCAATCCTATTAAAGCTGTCAATACATTTTCAGGAGAAGGAAAACAGTTAAGGATAAATATAAGACCCATGAAAAAAAAACACATGAGAAAGCAATGATTAAGATGAAATAAACACAACAAGCAACACAAAGCATGAATAAAACAACCCCTGAAAGCGAAGACATTACGAGTGATGAAAAATGAAGACAATGACACACAAAATGTTAGTAGGGGTTATTTAATACGTACTGTCTGTACACTTACGATGATTTGCTCATGGCGGCCGCCATTTTGAATCTCGGTTTTTGTCAGCCGGTCCGTCGCCTCAACAGCTCCTTTCAGATTCTGAAGCTATATTTTATAATTGAAGAAAGGATAAGTTCAGGGCGCCAAATTGAAAAGATAAATTAAATTTGATTTAATACGATGTTTGAAAATTGGCACCTTTCGTTCATTTTGTGGATGGGATTGTAGTCTAAATTGCCAAGAGAATTTGCCTACATTTCAGACAGTAGGACCTCGTTAATACATTCACCATTGCATATAATTCATGTTCATAATTTGCATAATCATCAAATATTTGCTAAATCACTAAAGAAAATAAACCTCACCTCTTGTAGAAAACTATCGATCTTGTTGTGTTCGAGACGTCTTGTGGCTAGACTGTCCTGCAGTCGTTTTTGTAAATCACTTCGTTCTTTCCTCCACAGCTCCCGATCACGTTGGTACCTTGCCTCCAGCTGACCGATGCGCTTGTGTCCGTCCTTCGACTTTTGCAACTCTGAACCAAGCTGTGATTGGGTAGTGGGGAAGGGACGGGGGTGAAACAGAACATAAGTGTTATCATATTGCTCCGATTGTCTCATTTTCGCTCGCGTGAACATTGCCAGCACAAACCACTGACCTCTACCTCCTGAACGGATCATCGCCCATTCCCATTCACTATACGTTACGTACTAAAAGGCTGTATTGTCTGACCGTTCATGAATATTCATGTTTTTGCTAAACTCGGCAAAATGTTTGCTTTTACTAAATGGAAAAATTACGGTGGGGGGTTGGATGAAATGGACATAATGAAATAGGCAGAAGTGATCTATGATAATTCATGCTTTTTATGTTTCGTGTGCTCGACCTATAATCTTCAAATCGCTTGGTAAACTGAGTCCAAAGTTAGACTTGTTTCACATGTGTATTATAGGCAATGACAAGCTTGCAACTTATTTTGAAAAATTACGGTGGGTGAACTTTCAAAAGTCAATGAGACATGAGGGCTCCAATGAAAGAGCTAGTGATAACGTACGTCGGGGTGGATGTGCTTTTCGTTTAAACAAAAAATGAATTTTTAAAGATTTTTAAAAAAAACGTCCATAGGCTAACATGTTAGGCTGCTGATTCTGATCATGCTCTGACGATAGGGGGCGTTGTGAAATGAGACTAAACGGAGCCATATGTTCTTCTTGGTTCTATATTTGTTGTCCTTTCTAAACTGCTCACTACATGAATTATTTACTTCAAATCGATGTTCATACTTCCTATACCCCCTCTTTACTTAATGTTAATTAACAGAACCTCCCTGGTAAGAGTGTTCAGCACTTAAACCAGAAAAACAACATAAACAAAAAATACACCAAATTTAATTGCATACAGGGAAATGTGAGCAATAATTCGATCTTATTAATCGCAAATAAAAGTGAAACATCGTCTTCATTCGCTAACGGAAATTAACGATTTCGTTAAAAAAACAAATAAAAATGAAGCCGTGATCTATCTTAACATTGGACGGTTGGGCTGAATTTTATGACGTCATTTGTCGTCGTAAATGTTATCATATACATTATGGACTTATCTATGGGAAGGAAATGAGAAGGAAGCGCGATACAATTATTTTATTTATGTTAGGCACCTCGTGAATACGTTCAGTCGACTTCATGCGTTCATCTTCCAGCATCTTCTTCGCAAGGACGCCCCCGGTGGCCGATCCCTCCCTGCTCCGCTGACTATCTCTTCGCTCCACCTCCTTCTGCATGTCCATCACTCGGTAGTTGGCCTCCGTCAGGAGCCGCTTGTGCTCGATCCGCTCCTGATCCCAGGAGGCCTGGAGCCGGGCCTGGAGATCTTCCAGCTTGACCTTCTTGAGCTTGGTCTGCTGCTCCAGCTGGGACGGACAAGTAGGGGAAAAAGGAAGGAATATAAATGAAAGCAAGGACGATGAGATGGATAAGAAGGATAATTTACATGGAGGTAAATATCGAAGGGAATATCGAAGAAATGAAATGAAAATATCAGCGGTGAAATAATAAGTGAAGAACCAAATGTGTCAGAGGAATCAAATAAATAGAAACAAGTCCGTAAAAAAACCCATCATAAACAAAACGAGAAAATGTTAGGAGGAAATTGTTACAGATGTAATGTCAAACGGCAACATGAGGTTCTGCTTATTTTTATGTGAAAAACCCACTAAAAGTAAATATAAAGCTTAAGAAGAATAGTGAAGACAATTCATAATATGATTACATACTGCTTGGAAAATGACCCAGAGAGCCACATGTTAACATATTTTATACCGACTGTATTTGGGGCTTCATATTGACTAGGATCTATGTCCTGTACTTTGTTATTGATTTTTTTTTTTGGGGGGGGGGGGGGGCAACAACTGCTATCACATAGTAGCAATGGTGATGTCATCATTCACCTGATCATTTACGATTACAAAGTTTTCTCTCGAGTTCAATTTGTTATCATAAATTGTTATAGAGAAAACCACACAGTATAGGTGTAGTGTTTTTATTCCTTAACTCTTCAGCTCAGGGATGTGGTCGTTTTAAGGATCAATCCCTAACCCTTGGAAAATAAAGCATCACTATGTCTTTTTGGCAAAGATGACACACGCTCGCCTGACCGCTGATCAAGGCTGTGTGGTGTCCATGCACCGGTATCAGGCGGTATTACACTAAAGGGACGAGGAAAATCTAACTTCTTTCCCATAATCAGCCGATATTACTTGGAGCTCTTGAGGTAAATGAATCATTAATGAGACACCGGGAAGCAAAATCCTGATCCTGACCACATTCGGGACTTAAACATTGTTTTTCATCAGGAAGGTGACACATTCTTGGTAGAATGATGGTGTTGCTCATGTAGTTTATCATTAGTTCGGAGCCAACATGGTGTCTAGTCATTTACTTTAACATAGAGTAAACGCACTTCTGGTACTCGATACACGGTGTTCCTAGTCCTACAACATAATGACTAGCTCAGTAATCGGGTGATTGTGATTCACAAAATAGCAGACAGGTTTCTCCGTCAACCATGTCAGCATACACTGATGCATTTGCAATCTATTCTAGGTTTCGAAAATCATGATTTATTTTACAACGTGCGAGAATTTAAAGAATACATTATAGTCTACCACACTGGTCCATTTTTAAGAAATATTTTGAAATAGTATACGCAACTTACATGTACATTGTTATGCGAAAATCAAGCATTCTCGGTGGATTTTTCTGCAACGCCTCTTTCATGGTTTTCAAATGCTTGACAAAACCTTTACGGTTCCTTTAACTTCATTTCAGGGATAAAAAAGGTGACTTACTCGAGTAATCCTGGCCATCATTTCGTTCCTAGATACCTCCCAGCCCGCCTTCTCGCTGGCATAGCTCTTCTGTAAAACCTCTCGTCTATGTTTCTCCTGACTCAGACCGGTCGCTAGCTTCTCTTTCTCGTGTTGTGCGTTCTCCAAGACTTGTCGAGATCTCTTGGCCTGCAATGATCAAATTATATTTTCATATTAAACCAGACCGACATAAAAAGCTTTAATTATATGAGAACCACTTTCTCAATTCATTCTGAGTCTTCTCGCTGGTAAAGCTCTTCTCTTAAACCTCTATAGTCTGTTTTTCTCTTGACTCAGAATAGTCACCAGCTTCTCTTTCCCTTGCTGCGCATTTTCTTGGACCTGCCAAGACCTCTTAGCATGTTAAGATCCAAGATTGAATTTAAAATATTGTGGCAATCTTTGGAACAGCTGTTACATAATTATGATTTCGAACATTCGTGAGAATTTAATGACTTGAATATGAAACACGTATCAGCGGATAATTTGAAATAGTATTCATCCGAAGCAATATTAAATAATTCCTCCCAAGGCTATACAACTATTCAAAAGTAAACAAGAGTTTTCTATTAAAGTGTAAGATGAGGCAGTAGGGGGTATATACGTACAGCAAGATTCTCCCTTTCCTTCTCACTCCTAAGACTCTCCTTCTCCCTATCCGCGTTATCAACAATCGATCGCAAGCGATCCAGCTCCGCCTTCGATTCGTACAACTGCTCCTTCTGGGATTGGTAATCGTTGGACTCATTCTCCAGGCGTTTCTGCAAACTCCCCACCTCATCGTTAAAGTACTTGGTCTCCGCCTCCAGCTTGAATTTGGAGGCGGTGATCTCTGCTTTCCAGACTTTCTCCTCCCGGTGGAAACGGTCTAAGATCTCCACGCGGACCCGCTCTAGGCGCTTCTGCTGGTTGCTGAGCTGGGTTTGAGTTCGCTCTATTTCCTTCTGTTTCACTTGGACAGAAGACTCTTTATCCTCAATCTGCAACAAGAGCAAAATATGTTTAGGACATTTAGGACATTGTTCTCAAGCATAATGCACAAATATCCACAATGAATGGGGAATTGATATATCATTTGATTTTCTCTGGAATCCTTAATCGGTTGAACAAAAACATTAAGCTCCACTCTAGAACGAGCCCTAATCATAAAGTAAAATACTTTAAGGACAGTACTAATGTATCTTTGAAGGGAAATTTTTAATCCCTATAATAGAGGCCTAGCTTCTCGTTTAGAAATGTCTTCCTCACTTTAATTTGATTAAACTCGTTTATTTCCTTTATGAAGTAGTTATCTCAGATCGGCACACATGTGCATATTATCATAAGGAAATACCATACATATTAAATTTACCTGTTGTAGAAGTCGACGCCTTTCCTCTTTGAATTTAGTTTCGCCTAACCGATAGGTTTCTACCAGCTCCGTTGCTGCTTCTAGTCGTTGCCTGAGTTCATTCACCTGTCTCTTACTCTCCGACTCGCTCTTACTCAAAGAAGCTTTGAGCTCCTCGATCTCCTTGATCAACTTGGCCCTTTCCGAATTCCAGGCGATTTCCTTATCCCTGCGAACCTGCTGAGCTTTGCTGAGATCATTCTTGAGGTCTCCGCGTTCGTTGTCCCAAGCCGACTCTCGGGCTTTGAGGGTACTGTTGAGTCTGTCCACGGTATCCTCAAAGCCCTTTCTCTGTTGAGACCACTCGCGCTCCTTGGTGGCCAGCTTCTGTCGGAGCTGCTCCGGGTCCCTAGTCGGACTTCCCTTAGGACTTCCGCTAGGGCTACTTCGCTGCCGCTCCGCAACGTCCTTCTTCTGAAAGTCATCCAGTGATTTCCTGCTCCCGTCCAGATCACGCTCAAGTGATTTTAATCTCTCGTTTAGATTTTCGATCTCTTTCGATTTAGTCCTCACTTCTTTTTCCAAATCATCAATCATCATGTTCTTGTCCTTGACTCTCAAGCTGAGTTCTTCATCAAACTCTTGTCGTAACCTACTCGAGTCGTTCTGTATGTTGTGCTCGTGCTCCTTGAGAGCGTTCTCAGCACGTTGCCTGGCTTCCTCTGCTTCATCAAGCATAGCAGTCAATGTCATAACACTGTTCTCCAACTGCTCTTTCTTGTTCAGAACTGCTTCACTGTCGGCCACCAAATGGTCAATCCGTGTTTGAAGGGGCTGGAGTATCCTCTCGAGCTCATCTCGCTCCATCTGAAGATCCCGGAGCTTGTCTCGCTCCATCCCGAATGTATCGCGTTCCCTTTTGATCCGCACTTCGTTTTCCGACTTTTCTTGTTCGGTGTTTGAAAGTTTGGCGTGCAATATGGTCCTTTCTTGTGTCAAGATGTCGTTTGAAGCTTTGAGCTCCTCGTTCTGAGCGGTCAACTAGAATGGAATGAAAGAAAAAAAACATAACGGCTGTGACTTAACACATTTAAAAACCTAGTCCAGACTCAGACTAAGTGATCACTGTTTCAATTATTTAAATGATGAATCTAAAAACAAGATATATTTATACAATAAATATCGTAAAATACAAAGCTAAATTCAGTTTAGATTGGATTATGTAACGACAAAGACATCTTGGTTTTCAGCTTCAACGTAATATACATGTAGCTTTCCTTTTACTAGTGCATTTTCGTCAAAAACAAACGATTCCGTAAATATAATCAGACTTTCCAAGCTTTCTCATGAAATGTTAGTAGAGTGTTCGACATTATCAAATTTACTAGTTTCCGGTTACCTTCCAGAAAGCAAAGACTGGCACCAGGAAAACATTCAACTTTAAAGAATAACCATATCCTTACCTACCCTCACCCTTTGTCCTCAAAATGTCTTTCTAAAAGAGAGTTGCAAGTACTATTTGAACAATGTCTGCTGGTCAGTCCACTAAAGGACATCTTCCCTGCTTTAATTGATACCAAACACAACAGCATGTCCGCGTGCTAATCCATTGCTAATCGATAATAGAGCAATCATCCGCTGTAAGCCAGGCACGGAAGGAATTTATTAAACCAAGGGCAATCCCCTTGATCAACCCTTATTAAAAGGAAGTCATTTTCTAATTCTGGAGAGCGATGACCATACCCTTTCCATCTTGCTCTTGAGGACCTCTGCTAGCTGCCTGTACTTCCAGCACTCGCCGTCCAGGCCTTCGACCTCCGTTTCGAGTCGCTGGAGCAGCTTCTGGGACTCTTCGCGTTGGGAATGTACGGGGCTGGAGCCAGATGTCGAGCGCTTCTGGGAAAATGTCAAGAAGTAAATAAAAAATGGTGACGAAGTTAATCGCTAGATGTTAAGAATACTGCAATAAAACCTACCTTGAATCGAAAATTCATCTACGATAAATGCAGAATGGAATACTAGGAGTACTATTAACAATTAGAATGAAACATTAATAACATTTTACCAAATGCATTCACTGCAAACAAACTTTCCCAAATCTCCATCAAAACATTCAAAATCAGAATATAGTACGTCTTTCGTCAACCCCGAAAATGAAGTTATGATATTGAAGCTTTAGGCCAGGCAATTAAAGTCTCGACAATATTTGCAGCTGTTGTGTTTCTTGAGATAATATCAGAGTAGCTTTAAACAATTAATCCTCAATCTTCCTCGCTCTCTCTTTCTCTCTCTCTTTATCTCTCTCTCTCTCTCTCTCTGATTTACTCCTTGTTAGGTCTTTCTGAACTAAACATAGTATCTGAAATATGGATAAAGCAATTTGTGTGTTTATATATGGTGATTTAAATTTCATCTCGTCGAGATTAAGTCGTAGAGGATGAAAAACAAACCTTACAAATCGGCACATGCTTGGGCAAGGACTCGGAATTAGGTGAATGGGAAAAAGCGACCTTCGAATTAAATCTCTCTAAGGATAGGCTGATGATAGAGCTTATATTTCAGGACTTTAATCACACTGGAGGAAGGGTTAGAATATGAGAGATGAGTCGGATTGAGAGTCGATGTCTTGCCTTTTGCGAGGCAGCCTCTATTTTTAAATTACATACTGCAAGAAGTATCACTAGGGAATATATATCATGTAAACGCCCTTCTTCTCCTTCTCCTTGCTCGTGTTTCATTGATCATAAAGACAGAGTATGATTTTATTGAAATGTTCAGTTAAAATAACTTACATTTTATTATTTGATTGCATTTAAGTCTAAAGAACTGAATGATTATTCAAGTCCAACAATTCTGAAAGGAATGCAGGTGTGTTTTGGGGAAGTTACTGGACTAAAATTTAAGATGAATCAATACATCATAGTTGGTTGTTATTAATACAGGAAAGTAATAAGCCTGTGTGGGAGACGATACGTTGATAGATAGATAAATTAGATATATATGCCTTTCTTAATATATAGGGAATAATTAGATTGGATTGTTTTAAAAGACAAGGAAACCGTTACTGTTACCGTCTTGCATCATGCAGATTCTAGGATTTCTCAATAAACCAATCATCACTATCAAGACTTTAAAAATGGGTAACATCATAATGTTATGATATAATGTTCACCATTGTGGTTATTCTTAAAGATCATTCCAGATACAACTATCTCTGTTCTCTGTCATTCTAGAACACTCTTGCAGTGTCATTCCGCTCCCTATCATGTTCCCCTCCCAGTTGGCGTATACGCAGAGCCATGAAATGGAAAACAGAGGAGGGATTAACATCGGGGAGGGGGGGGGGCAGATGGAGGAGGGGTGATCCCCTTCCTATTTACCATTTCTCCACCAGCTTGCTTCTCTAGGTCCGTCATCTTGGCCTTGACCTCATCGATGCGATTGAAGAGTTGCGCCCTCTCTTGGCGCCACTTCATACCCTCCATCTTGAGTTGAATCATGGAGCTTTCCTTCTCAAGCTCATGCAGTGTGTCGTATCTTTCTCGCTCCTCCATTATCTGAAATTAGAAGATAGTTAATAGCTATTAATGCCTGAAAACAGAAATAAAGGAAATACAGTCAAACCTGTCTATAACGACGACCAAGGGAAACATAGAAAGTCGTCCTTGTAGACAGGTGGTCTCCGTAGACATGTTGCTTAATAGTACATGATTCAATGAGAAACCATTTTTAAGGGAAACAACAATGTGGTCTTTGTAGACAGGTGGTCACTAAAGGAGGTTTGACTGTACTATCACATTTAAAATTGTATCATAATGATTTCCTCCACCAGCTCATGAATGGTGGTATCAATCCCTGTCCTCCATTATTATGAGTGAGAGTAATCATCATCATCATCTTGTATTATTTTCTGTACCCTCGATCTCTCACTTCTTTTTGTCATTGTCTACTCTTTGTATTATGACCGTGTTCATCTATCTTTGTCGTGTAAAGTATTGTCTTGTCCCTTTCTCGTCTTTGTTGGCATCCCCCATTTTTCTTTCCCCTATTTTGTAGTTCCTTTTGTATTTACAGATTAGGTAATTTAATTACTCATTATTCGTAAGTATCTTTTGAGGTGTTCACACTTGTACAAGCATTGCTTTTTAGTGAACCCCTCTATTTCCAACATGTATTTCTTACATTTGTTTTAAATGCTTATAATTGATTTGTAATGTTTTGTTGGAAACATGAATAAATTTGAATTTGAATTTGAATTTTGAATTTAATGAACGGGAACACCATATCATATTGAGAGTTATGGCTACAGCCCACAAAACTGACAATCGACGAGACCGACATCCAATGAGAACACCAGCCCAAGAGACTGACAACAGCGGTCTCGCAGGCCTTCTGAAAAGTTCTTATCAGAAGGCTCACTAGACTCGATCATCGCCCATGAGAGAGTCATATTGGTCTCGGCCATGGGGCCTTCTAACTGGGATCTACTGGGTCTGGGTTGACCCATAGAGTACCCTAACATGAATGATTTTACAATCCTGTGGAAAAAGGCAATCAATATCTGGTCTTACGCAAGTTTGATAGTTAAAACCAAATGGATGTTTTTGGTCCCCCCCCCCCCCCAAAAAAAACAACAAAACAACAAAACAAAACAAAACAAAACAAAAACAAACGACACATCAAAAATCCACGGCACATTTCTTCTAAATTCAACAAAGCGCAAGTAAATCTTAAGCGCTTGGACCTTTACAGTTTGGATTTCATAATTTCATGAAAGTTTCTCATAGTAATTGGTTTCATCTAATTTGCAAAGAAAGAATGATACAGACATAACCATGATAACATTTGATGCTGATACACCACATTTCCCTTCAAAGGCAATGCTCTAACGCTGTAGGGTAAGTTTAACTTCATTCATCTCCTCTCTTAAGCTCTCTGTCGAGTATCAACCCTAGGAATTGTTTCGTTATAACTTTATTTTGTTTTATTATGGGGACATCCTGTACCGACATGACTCATGGTGTCTTGGGGTTTCGTAAGTCAATTTCAAACACCCTACTCTAAAAAAAACGACCACATTTTAATTCCATTTTTAGATCATATTTTAAAGGGAGAGAGAGACAGAAAAGCAAGAGATTAATAAAGACTATAATAGAAAACAGAAGAGACAACAGACGATAAAAATACAGTAAAATAATAGAGAGAGGGAGAGGGAGAGGGGGGGGGGCAATGATATATTGAATTTAGTTCAATGAGTGACTATTTTCTATAATAATTTCAGTGACTATTCTTTGTCAAATTTCACGAGGAAGAACATTACGGACAATCATTTTTTTTAAACAATGACCTTTGTTAAAATTTTAAAGAAATTGTATTAAACATAATTTATGTACGGAAATCCAGTTCTCCTAAAGTGATGTATAAACCCAAATTACAAGGATACAGTGTGAATAGCAATGTAATCTATCCATCACTGATTTACATGAATTGGGTTTAGGTTTACTTGTTGTTTGTACTATTATTATTCAAATATTTTTCAATAGAGCATAGACTGACATGAGGAAATCAACATAAAGCATATATCATGCGCACGATGTTTGCGATGATAATTCCCCTTTAAAACACCCAATACGTTGTTCATTTTCCCAAACTCTGAAATATAAAACCCGTTTCCCTGGAAATAAATCTAGAAAGGAACACGAAAGTGACACGGACTTCAAGCTTCTTTCATTACCTCCTATACCAGACAAAAACTTTGCAGAAGAGTTCAAACGTTCACGTCTACGTTTCCCCTAATTTCTCTTCATTACCGTCAATATTCCCCTTTCCTATTTCGTTTTAGACTCCACGACTAAACAAGACAATTATTCCCTTTCTGGTGCAAAATACACACAAAAAGGAAAGACGACTGTTTAATGACCACATTACCTAAATATTCAAATTATGATAATAATGAAAATATAGAATATTTATAATCTTATTCTCGGTCATAATTATGCTCCTTATCATTTCTTTGGCAAATTATAGATTCGTCATGTACTTTTATCACATGTCTCATAAAACCACACACCTATCTTGGTCCAGAGTCCATACGGAACGGCACACCCTTTCAAGATTTCTTTTTTTTCTGCATTACCCCCCCCCCCCCCCCCTTCCCCCTCCCCTCATACACACAAACACACCCCTCACTAAAACTAAATATCTCTTTACTTTAAGCAACCAAGAGGATGGACATGACTTCTACTCCAAGGGTTCACCGACAAACACATTTTGAGGAAGATAGATATTAAGGATACATGGATCTATTAATGTACCCAAGTGTCCAATAAAGAAACTCAACTTGCTAGACTCTATCCGGGTATGGTGGAAATGGTTTCTTAAAATAAACCGCTTTCCTCTATATATAGTCGGGTGGTCCAACTTGTTACTTCAAGCCTCTTCGAGCGAAACATTGATGCAGCCAAGAAAATGAAATCTTTATCATTCTGACGTTACACATGGTAATTTTTGCTTCCATGGAGTGTAAAAAACATAGCTTTAGAGAACCTTTTAAACCTGATTGTCTAACGCTGGATCTAATTCGCTTTTAAAAGGTAAATATGAAGAAAAAGGGATCTTTTCTGTAACTTCTGTATGAAAGTGATAAGAACAGGAATGATTAAATCTCAGGTAAATTGTAAGGTCTACTTTTGACGCCATGTAGCTTGTTTTATTTAGTTAATCAAGGAAAGAAAGTGTATCAATGAAATTGCGGACATTTCCGATTTGTATCACGTTTTTTTATACTTCTTTTAAAACATACATCTACATTTTTCCAATCTCCGCTTTAAAACAGAACCATTATCTCACAGATCAGGTAAGTGAGAACTAGAATGAAATTGATGCCGTTGAAGCCCTTGGCCGACATATTTTCTTGCCCAAAATAACTGCGAGCAAGGCAACTTGAACATGAATTCAAGTTGGAAAGCGATCGTCAGCCGTCTGTCAGGACTCTACTTCCGATTTCCGCACGTTTTAAATTTTATTCAGAAGTCTCTTTCCAGTATTAAATGTTTCTCCTGTTTAAGACGAGAAAATGGGATTTCAGGAGACTGGTGAGAGAGAAGGGTGTGCCGCATCCTCAGTTCCGATCTATTTCTGCGAAACATGAATGAGTTAGAATTGCAGACAGACTGACAAATCGATAGGATAAATCTCTTAACACGTAGGTGGTTATGGTAGAACTGAATTGAGGTGGAGGAACGCAGGCTTTTTGCATGCGCCATATGAGGAGAACGTCAACTCGTTCACTTTCTTTATCTATTACCTTTAGTGATTGTAACCTACGTACAGGTGTATCTATCTATCTATCTATCTATCTATTTATATATCTATCTATCTATCTATCGATTGATCGACCTACGTATCTATCAATCAATCTATCAACCTATCTATCAATTTATCGATTTACTCATCTCCCTTTTTATAATATGCTCTATACTTTTATGCTATTAAACAACACCTATATGGCATGTGTTGAATTTGAACTATAAAAGTAACTGAGCCTATCCCTTATCGGGTATATCCGTGATTGTGGTTGCTATCACTTTTTGTCTTTTAAAACTGCATTTGGTTATTTATCAGCAAGAGCTGTATTAGAATTTGATCAGAATTGTCTTGAATTCTTATCATACACAATATCAGCGCTGGTGAACTCTAACACTTCTATAGCTAAATAAAGTGTCCGCACTTTTCTACAAATCTTCAATATACACAAAATCGCTCATAATTATACAGAAATATGATGACATGTAGACTCAGACTGGAAACACAAAACGAATATTTGAGCTCAATTGACCTTCTGTATTACCGCTATTAATTACCCCGAAGATTGGTTACTCATCTTTCCCATATTTCCATTTCAAAATTGAAGGGTAACGGGATATGCTATTTTGGGTCACGTCTTGTCCAAACTGAAATGGCAATGATATCGGTAGAAGTTGTCAACGATGCATAAAAAGTGTTGCCAATTCGACATTCACTCATCGTCTTACTCACCATATATCGCTCAACGGGACTCCGGTCTATTTATGGGACGGTAATTTTTCTCGCAAATATATTTGGACAAGTATGATCTCACATCTTTTTTTATTTTGTGTTTATTTACCAAGGCCTAGTCACGCTTATTTAAAAACCATACATAGCGAAATGCGCTTAAAATAGAAAAATAACGGCAACGGTAAAACAAAAGCAAACTCGACAACGAAATTAAGTATATTTGACATGCTCAATACATCTGTTTTCCTGGGTGAGGGGGGGGGGAGGGGTGGGAGGGTTGGTCTATTAAACTGCAAAAGTGCCGTGGAGAATCAGGGTGCCATTAATATTTGATATCCGACATCATTTTTGTATAATTCAAGGATATAAAGCAGTCTAGTAGGTAATTGACTATGAGTGACATTTGGTTAGCATCACCGGAAAATCATAAAGCTTTCATAATAATTTTTGTTTTTAATTGTATTTTTACGGTGACCGGTGTGAAACATTTGTACGAGATACATTATAATGCCCTTGGTTCGGTAGGTGTCGATAGGAGGGGTGAATAATATGTACTGCGCCTAGAAACAAATAATTAGGCGCATTATAATGTAAGCTATTATTATTATTTTCATAATGAGTTTAATGAGTTGTGTTTCCGACTGACCAAACTTTAATTGAAATTTTATACTGCTGGTGATTGAAGTTATTTGTCTTTTGCTGTACGTGTACCGTTTTATGTCAAATTAATTTTCTTTGAGTCACTCTCCACCCATCCCATAACCCCGAGTTATGCTATGCCCTTCTAATGGCGATGATGTACCCTGGGCATTCGCCGCCAGACGGTGGCACGGTGAATCATATTGACTATGACAAAAAGAAGAACCCTGACGACAATTAATAAGGCAGACTTTTACTCCTTGTCTATACTTGGAGGAATTTTTGTTATTTGTAGACACAACGTGAGACGGCATCACTAGGCCTATTTTGAGCTATACAAGACAAACAACTTTCGGATCCATGTAAAGCGTATACATCCTTCAGTAATTAATGAAGAAGTATTAATTTATATTCGAAACACGCAGTGTCGAAGAAAAAAGCAGTTGGTAATCAAAGCTTAGTAAGACCAAGATATTTTTTACCATGTTTCCGTTGGATTTAAAAACCGTTAGCAAAAGATAACGCTCAAAGAAGCCAATACTCCTTGAAATAAAAATGGTAAATCTACATGAGCGCCCAAACGGGGCAGATTCAGACACTTGTATAAGCAGGGCTCCAGGCACCTTTCCCTTACTTGTCCCATCTGTATATAAATTCTACGAACTATACGAACAAGCAAGAGTATGGTATCTGCAAAGTGCACCTGCTTCCTACAGATTGGTGGGACGGTGGGACGGGGGGGGGGGGGGGGGCAGGGGGATGGGGACAGGTGAGGGGGAGGGGTGAGAGATGGAGACATTTTTTTAACAAGGCTATAGAGAGCCACATATTTTTCATCTTTCGTCATGCAAAGCAGTCTATGTCTATCTACATTCATTATATACAGTGATAAATCAACTGGGTAACCCGTGATTGTCTCTGACTAAGATCGCTACACATCAAATTTTATTGGTAAAGAAAGGGAAAATGAATTATGAGATTTTGTCACAAACAAATGAGCTGCCCGTGGTACTGAATAATTATCAGTTACTTAAAACAGTGCTCATGGCAAGTCAAAGCACATTTCCCTGCCGAAATCAGCATTACAGACATTTTTATGGGCTCTAAAATAACGTTTCGTAAACAAGGCTGTATCCATTATTCTTCATTTGATACATGTACCAGGGGGTGTTTCACACAACTTGTCATCAGTGACAAATGACAATTTTTTTTATAAGCTACTAAAATCCTTGCTTCTGATTGGTTATCAGCAGATTTGTCACTGTTTTTTTGGTCATTTGTCATTGAAAAAAGGCTTTGTGAAACGGGTCCCAGGTCTTCCCGATCCACATCAATTCCTTTTAAACCACCCATTCCTATATCCAGACACCTTGCTCCGTTGCTACCCAAGAGGAAGAACAAGACGCCTTTCTTGACGTCATGAGTGCATTCCCGAGTGGACACATCAGGTCTTCCTTTACCCTAGAACATAGAGGCACTCATTTCCTTTCAACATTAGCACCAGTTTCGTGTCCCCAGATTTCGATTGTGATAACACCAGAACACTACTCTGTATTAGGAGAAGGGCATACTCTTTTGAACATTGAGAGATTTAGAAATTTAGATTTGCCAGTGCAAATGCACCAACAAAAAAAGAGAAAAGATTCTATAGAATATACTAGGGCTAAATGAAGACCGTACGCAGGATATGGCGAGGACTATATGAATATGTAACAATAATTAGAAGGGGATTAAAAAGCAGCAAAGTTAGAGAAAAAGCCAAGAGGAAAAAATGTGAGAAGGTGAAAAGGTGGGCCTTACCACTGCGAGCTTATGATCGAACTCCGACTTCTCGGCCATACGCTCATCTCGCTCCTGTATTAATTCGGCTTTCAATTCATCGATGGTCATCCGATACTCATTCAGCTATAAAACAAAAATGAGAAAGAAAGATTTAGAAATACTTTATCATTATAAAGTAAAGGCTCATTTTTATTAATGGATGATTGTCTGGCCTTTCACTACAGCAGTCGACATCAAACACAATGCATTGCAATGAGTGAATTCTAAAAGTCACCCATTTAACGCACCTGGGTTAGGAAACACAAAAGTAGACAAATGCAATGCTTCAGGTAAAATGATCCTGATACGGATTCAAACCCTCAAACTTTCGAATGAAGGTGCAAAAAAAAAGGAAAACAGTATCAAGTTGGTGACTAAGGTAAAATACATGGCGCACGACCAAAAGAACGACCACGAATAGGAAATATTCATACATCAAAAACACAAACTAATACCCTCCCCCACATAACAGAAAAACAAGACCATTTATTCGTGACACTTATGAAGCTGCGACCCGAATCCTACTCACAGTCCTCCCGGCCCCCCCACTCAGGTTTCAAAATGACCGCATGCGTGTTGCCAAAATGTCCTTTTCGTAACAAAAGAAAAAGGTCGAGCCGTATTGACTTTACACACCGGACTTTTGCTGAAAAGGGGGGGATGCTGAAAAAGGCTCGTATACAAAAGAAAAAGGTCGAGCCGTATTGACTTTACACACCGGACTTTTGCTGAAAAGGGGGGGGGGTCGGTTGGAACACGCATATGCGTACCCTAAATAACACTGAGTGGGGGGGCCGGGACAGTCCTACACATGACTTTTACATAAATCATCTCACCAAAAGCCCTTTAGATTGGGGAAATCCCAGAGGGGTTAAAAGGATGACTATAGATATCTGAGAAGGGTATTGCCCCCTTCCCCATCGCTCGTCGATGCGGTATTTTGTTTCAAAACAAGTTGACCAAAAACGATGGAGGCGAGGTTGATTGGTAAAGAAGATGGAAGAAAAGTGATATCTAATTTTGTCTTTCTTTCCCGAGACCGAAATAACCTAGCCACAACGGCGAGACTGACACTAGACCGAAAATAGACCGACCAATTTAAAAAAAACTTAATCACGATTGCCAATGTTTTGTCGGTTATCGTTCGATTTGGGGTTGGTCTGAATAAGGTATAAACCTCTAATAAATAATAATCCTTTAGCGAGCATTCATTCTTGTACGGAAAGTCGGGAAGTGGGGGTGGCGCAGTGACGCCGTTATAAACATTTTCATATTACTTCTTAATATCTGTTTCCATTCTTGCATGTAAAGCTTGCAGCTATCCCTGAGTTCAGACGTCAACGCATCGATTTGAAGACAAACAATAAATATTATGTCGTTTGCACCATTTTATCCTTTATCATGACTTACACGCCAGAAGGCCTATATATGCGAACCGTGGCATCTATAAAGGTTAACTCCTATCCTCCCAGAAGTAGATGTTAGTACGTTGTTGATAGAACCGATTTGGCTGTGGGCATTTATACGAGATTCAGACGAGATAGAAAGGGCTTCCTTTCTCGTCCGAATACTTCCCAAGTTCCTCCCTGCATGTTTGTTCTTATTTCAAACAAGCATTTCTTAATCGTAAAGTCCACCATAACAAACAAATATTTATTCAAAGATCTTACAAATAAAGACACATTTTCACAAAATAATTGTTGACATATAATTTGTTCTTTAAGGACAATGTACTGTGCATTACAATAGGTAATGGCACTAATCGTTGAGGGCGTACCGACTGGACAGGATTCGACAAACCGGAAACGATTGTCGGTCAGAAGCCCCCTCTAAGCAATATTGAAATGTCAGGTCTATCCCCTGGGTCTAGAACAGTATGGTCAGGCGACGACTCGCAGGAATTTGTCCTCTCCGTACTCGTCTTAGAATTCCGATGATTTGACCATGTCACATCGGCCCCATACTATTCCGAATCTGTTCCATCGCTTTCAGAGGTACGCCTGATTTGTTTTAACCCACATCAGTGAAAAGACAAAACAATGCGAGGGCGTTATACTAATCACTAATCCTTCTATTATTATCTGAGACAGTCTTGGCAAGGGTTGCATCCAGGCCTCTTTATTCTACTTTAAATAAAAGTAAAACAAAGGTCTCTTGCTTGTTCTCTTTGCGCTCATTGTGGGCGTTATGCCAGATGTCAAACGTTTCCAAATCAAATTAACAACCAGTTGTTTTACAAGTCTTAAAAGGTTTTGACAGTGTCACGCACGTTAACAAACAATGTGGACACAATAAAGATATTTTTAATCCAAATTGAGTATATTTTCTTAAGAAACGATATTTTTCTCTGCGACAAATAATATTATGAAAAAGTTTTGTTCATATCGAGACAATATCACACGATTGTTTTTCACGATAATATGTGCGGATATTTAAGATAATGAAATTTAAAAAAAAACATGGCCATGAAGAGAAACATGCGCTACGTTGTGAATAAGAAAAGCTTACGACACGACAACGGATGAGCCCGTAAATTGCACTGAAGGTTTACCTTGGTGGCAATATTGATATGTCATGAATGTGCATGTCTTGAAGGAGACATTAATCCTTCAGGCATAACTATCATTGAATATTTAAATGCTAATCATGGCGAGAGTTGAAGCTAGAAAACAACCGTCTCAATCTCGTTTTGTATGATGATTTAATTTATATGATCACAATACATGCAGGATTATTTCATGCTCGATAAATTGAATTAAAGTGCGAAAGGGGCGCGGACGACCGGTTGTGAGAGTTTTTTTTAATTTGTATCAATCATGCCACTTTAACCACTACCATCAGAGAATGACACATTGGCAAGGCTAGGCCCATCTTTAACATGATAACTACATGACAGAGATGACTATTTAATTGAGTAATGGTTATCGGAAATTGGCTTGGGGTATGGTAGATTTAAATAGGAGTATCGCGATGTAATTCGGTTAAGAAAGTAAATCATTTAGGGGTAGACGAAACTAAAATATCATTTCTTTTTCTGGAGAAGAGGATGATGAATATGGTGCTCACGAAAAAGGAGGGTAGAATCACGAAAGGAAATCCCAAATTATGAAATGAAAACAATATCTCATATGAACCCTTCAAATTTCATTGGAAACCGGAATGTATGACGACACGTTGATAACCTTGATTCGAAGAACGAATTTCGGGAAGGATAGCTTATACCTATACCTATACATTTTTTTTAATGGACCCTACTAAAAACATGACAAATGATGTTGAACATAATGTTGAAAATAATAGGAAAAAATACCCCAATTTTTTCAGTTCTGGATATTAAATCATACCGCTGAATACTGAGTATGACATCAACATATGTTAACAAACGATACACAATCAAAGAATAAAATATACTAATACTGCACACACACAAAAAAAAACCCATGGTTATTAGATGTGCTTTGAAAGATAATTTTTTAGTATTTCTGTTGATACACGCTGGGCATTGACTCTGCGCTGGAATAATCACTCATTACCTAACATTATCGAACCAACATCCCCCAAAGCATCTCTCTCCACACTTTTAAGCAATTAATACATCTTCACACCTGACTAATAAACCGAATTATTGCTTTTAAAGCGCCCCTATCCACACCTTAAATCCCATTCACACCTGACTGCAAGATACTAGAAAATGCTTTGAAGCGTCTCTCTCAACACTGTGGAACAATTATTTAAATTTTCACAACTGAATACTTAACCAAAACTTGCTTGAAAGCGTTTCTCTCAACACTTTAAGACAATTGAATCATCTTTACAGCTGGATACAAAACAAAATAATTGGTTTAAAATGTGCAAACATCCTTTCTCTAAAAAACTCAATCAACCCAGTCCCATGGACCACGATAAAGGGAACTGTTAAAGATAAAGTAGAGTACTGCTCGTATCATTACCTTGTTAAAGAAGAAAAAATCTGGAAGCAAATAAGAAAATTTGGTTATGTAATACATACATTTTGATGTATGTTTTGGAATCAACGAAATGAGAAGAAATGGACCCAATCTTCATGAAAGTCAATAGACAGCACGCAGAAACAGATGAATGGGATCACACACACACACACACACGCACACACACACACGCACACACGCGCACACAGACACATGGCATGGGAGTTTAGTCCAAACAATTCAGCTATTTCTTGTCATATGTCAAATATGTGGTCATTCGAAGAGCAGAGTGTTATCCGGATGATATTTTTACAAACCGAAATTAACAGGATGAAAAAGCTCGGAAATTATTTGCAGCCTTTACCAGACCTCCACCTTCTCTTTAAGAAAGATCAAGTTCAGGTTCGAGTCACTAATCATTGCGGTAATTAACCCTACGTGATGAAGCAGAAAACAAAGCGTGCTCCCAAGATTTTTCAAAGCAGGGAAGAAGGGTATGGAAGTGGTAAAGGACAACCAAATTAGCCTCTAATCAATTTTTTCTTGACATGATGACGGCTCCCCGGAGTCGACCACAAAGAAAGAATCAGTGCTTCCTTGTTGAAAGTTCAAAGGAATATTGTTGAACAAAGAAGTTACTGCAATAACTGATGCAGAAAATATGATCTTAACTATACATTTCTCTGCTCATACAAAATGAAGGACTTATTATAATTTCACTGCATAGTTATTTCGCTGTTTATCTTTTGGGGGCTTTGATAGCTCAACCATTAACTAATTCACTGATAATTTTGTCATTATAAGGGAAGGATGTGGGGTGTGACAGAGGTCTTATCATCCTTTTTAACGTCTCTACCCCCCTCCCGCATTCTCCCTACCCCTCCCTCCTCCTCTCTCTCTTCATTTCCCCCTCTCTTTCCACCTTCTTGTTCTTCGATTGGGACTTGAACCCCTTGACCTCGTGTAGCTACACTTCTGTACTGTTCACTTTAACTTTTATGTTTGACATAAAGACATGTAAGCCATATGCGAGGGAAACGCTCAATATGACAAAAACAAACTGACTTTACGACAACGCGAGGACATATTAATTATATAATCCGTTCTTTCCTTTATAGCATGACTTCGACGAACGTT